TTATCCAAAAGAGTAATTTGTTTGAGGGATAGAACTGTAATAAAAAAATTAGAAGATGGTGTGGGCACTGAGAAAATGAGGGGTGTGCAAATAGAATTAACTGGACTAAAAGTGTATTTTTATTAATTGAGTTTCCACATTTACCCTTGACTTTAACAACACTTCCAGATAGAGTTAGGTTGGGGGACTAAAGTGAAACACTTTTTTATACATTAGGGACAAATTTTAGACATTTGTGACCAAATGACAAATTGCATACTTCAGGGACTAAAAAAGTAAAAAACCCTAGAATAAATTTAACTTTGTTTTTTTTTTTCTTCACCATTATTTGATTACCACTTTTGTTGCTTATCACTTTATACCTTCATCATACCCATATAAATGATATACTTTTGATTTTATGCTCTCTTAACCATCAGACTGCACATTGAAGGAATCTCATGATCCATTAGATTCTGGGCTAAAATGGCAGAAGAGCTGTCTATGGACTGCAGTTGAGTACCTTATCGTTTTTTCTTTTCTTTTTGAAATCACATTCTATCATGATTACCAGTTTGTTAAAAGAACTTGGGGTTGTCAAGTTATGAAATTAGTGATTACAAAGTGATTTTGTTTTCTATACCGAGGGGAGACAAATTACATAATCTTCACAATGAGAGTAATATACTTGATGTCTCTTCTGGGATCTTGCATCTGGCTGGTGATTCATTAGTTCCTGAATCTATCAATAAGAATTGTCTGGAGGATGCCAAAGTTCTCCAACAGGTGGATAAGAAGTTCATTCCAATTGTGGGTGGTGGAGTGCTTGCTATTATTGACCAGGTTTAAGCACTGCTGTTCTTTCTTTCTTTTTTTCTTCTTGAGATCCATCTATCTCATGTTTTTAAATTTTTGAAAGACCGTAGACCATGCTTCTTGCCAAATGATATATTTAGGTAGTGTTCTAATCACTGGAATGGAATGGAATTATCATTCCATCAAAATATCCATTCCCATGTTTGATTGACTAAAAAATATATTGCAAATGGAATCATCATTCATCATTGTAATGGACTGATCATTCCATTCCATTCCATTCCATCTTATTCTAGTGAGCCAAATAGAACATTAGTTCACAAGTTAAAACATTATGCTATGGACGTTGTAATTGTGGACTATTTAGTACTTCTATTACATGGACTCGCTGGTTTAGGGCAGAGTACCCGTGTCGACACAATACGACATGGGTGCGGGTGTGAGATATGTGTCAGATTCGGCATGGGTTTCTTGGACATGGCTGACATGAGAGGAGAAAGAAGGGTTGTTGAGAGAAACTTACAGTGTAGCAGTGGTAGCAAGAGGGTGAAGATCTATGTCGATTTGTGTCTCTGTGTCGTCTTGTCTCTGTCTTCATCTATGTCGATCTCCTCTTCTCTCTCTCTGTCTTCTCTTCTTCATCATCTCCTCCTCGTCTTCTTCTTCTTCTTCTTCTTCTCTCTCTCTCTCTCTCTCTCTCTCTCGTCGATTTGTGTTCTCTATCTCTCCCCCCTCCCGTTTTTAACATATAATAAATAATATAATTTGTTATATAATAATAAATCTAATTAAATCATATATAATAATAAAAAAAAATCTATAAAAATCTATAAAATAAATCATCCAAATTTTATTTTTTATTTATTTTAACATATTTTGTTATTCTTTATTTGTTATAATTTTTTTTATTTATAATATATATATCAATTAAAAATAAAAAAAAATAAATTATATAAATAAATTAAAAATATTATCAATAAAAATAATACATAAGATAAAAATAATAAATATATTTAAAAATAACTATTTAACTCATCTTTATATAATAAATATATTTAAAAAATAACTATTTACCGTATTCCCGTACTCGTATCCAAATTTGGATCCATATTTATGTATTTTCAATTTTTAATTTTGAAGTATCCGACCCCTAGATGTACCTGCACCTGTGCCCGCACCCAATATCTACACCCGAGTCCGTGTAACATAGTTTAGTACTGCTTCTCATGATTCTCAGTCGAGGCCTATTTTATCTCGGCAGAATGTTCAATGACACCAATTGTTGAGATGTACATAGCACAGGAAATCTTAGAAGTGGATTGAGGACATGGAATGGTTAACAGTTTCTGATATGAGAATCTTGTAACTGGGAAATCGTGTCAGCGTTAGCCGGTAGATGCCTGGTAGTATATATACATCTACATGCAAAAGGATCCGCTTGGAAGAACTACGTCAGAAGGTAAAATGCTTTTGTAGTTCAAACTTTTTAAAATGACAAATCCAGTGTGGCTAATAGACTAGTGAAATTTGTAGGTGCTATCTAGAGAAATGAAGACAGTCACTTACCTAGATACTGAGCAAAAATTGGTATGTCCATTTCACAGTATATGTCGGGGTTCTATTACAGCCCTAGATGCTGTGCCAAGTTAAACATTTATCTAAAAATTTTTAGATCTTCACTATTGATTTTTATTGTTTTCGAAACTGTAAACAGGTCCTGCCTGAAATAGGGTATCAGTTGTTGCACTACTATGCTGATCAGATTCAAAATTGGGGTTGGCTCTGCAACATTCGTTCTCTGGGTTCAAAGTCTTTTAAAAAGTAATTTTTCTGTGTTCTGTGTCTAGAAAATCTTTAATTAGTACTGTTGATCTATGTGTCAATCATTGTGTGAATGACCTTCAAAGATATTAACCCCATACCAATGTTGGTGAACAAGTCTGTCAGATTTTTGTTTGTGCTGATGACTTTGGAGAACCTTTTGGATCTTCTGCTTTATATCTTTCGTTAAGGATTTGCTGGGATGATTTTTTTTTTCCCCGCTAAATGGATGGTGTTAGAGAATGCATGATATATTGCATTTGTCTTGTATACAATTCATCTTCTAAATTCTGAGATTTTTTTGGTGTACACCCTTTTGTGTTTTTACAGGAATCTGAATCTTCTACACAGGCAGCCAACTATTGTCACACTTAATGCGGTGAAGAACATTCCTGCCCCTCTCTCTCTTTCTCTCTCTCAGCCATTGAACTTCTTTTACAAGCTTAAATTTTTTTTTTTCTTGATTGTATTACTAGTTAGTCTGTCAACTACGTACATACACATGCATATATAGAGGAAAATATTATTGCCAGAGAAGTTATTGTTATTACTTCCATAGACATACACATTGACCAACCAAGTGCTTTAAATGTTTAAGTGTCCTCAATGTTGTATATTTACTCAAGATGTATAACATTATTGACATAGTTCAGAGATCCGCAATCTCTATTTTGTCTCATTATTGAATATCACAATTACTTTAATGTGGAGGTGCCATGTATTGTAGGAGTCAATTTGACTGATGTAGATCTCTTGGAATTTCTTCAACAGAGAGAAGTTTTTACAGTTCCATTTCCATGATTTTTCTGGAGTTTATTGATTCATCATTCATTATCTAAAATTTTCCCAAACTATATTTGATGATTTTCTCACTCCAGTTTGTATTTGTGATCAACAGCTTGCTGATACAGATGGATCATCAACTATACCGCCATCCGTTCATCGGGTCCTTAACTCCAAAGCATGTAGAGGTATAATAACCTCAATCTTTAGGAAAAATGCTAGTCTGTGTAAAAGTTGCATTAGTTACCAATCATCCACAACTTAAGTTATTTAATGCTTTATGCGAGGTGATGCTTGTCCACAAAATATTCTCATATGGACTAGTGTCATTTGCCATTTGCCGTGGTTTTTCTTTCTTGCTTCTTGATACATCTCAAATTTCCAGCATGTTACCAACTTTTTAGCTGCACCGAGTTGTATTTCCTGCTCTTAAAAGGGTGAAAGCTTCTTTCTTGGGGATTATGTTCTTAATTTTGCTTATTGGTTTTACTATTTAGATGCAATAATGTTTGGGGACACATTGCTACCTTCAGAGTGTTCCCTAATTGTTGAAGAGCTGAAGCAAACATCATTGTGTTTCCAAGTGAGTTGACAGTACCCTAGTCTATTTGTCAATCAATACAAAAAATTGAGAGTTTGTTTTGCTTAGCTGAGAGAGAGAGATTGCTTAGCTGCATTGTTGATAATTCTGGAGAGTTTGTTTTGCAGTGTGCTCACGGCCAACCAACAACTGTCCCTCTTGTCAACTTGGAGGCATTGCATAAGCAGATAGCTAAGCTTGGATTGTGGAATGGTGGTTCTAATGAATTGTGGCATGGGTTACATCAGCATGTACCCAGTTTAGTGCAGCACAGCGTTTGAGCTCTGCCAGAGGTCTGTCTTGATGAGTAACCAGTTGGTTTTCCAGATTCAGTGGTGGCTGTGGTTCTCCACCAACGCGCCTTTTTTCCTTGCCACTGTGAACCCATTCTTTCAATTTGTTATGTATAGTTCTCATTCTGACCGCTGAAGTACCAATAATATGTTGTACCAGTGTAACAGAGTCGCTTGTAGTTTGTAACGACAGTTATTTGCACACAATAAAATCACACCTTATTTTTTCACCTTTTTTAAAATCATTTAAGGCAAAGCTACTTGGCAGATGTGTGATCAAAACAGCTAGATATAGTTGCTTCTTCTCGTCCCTTTTTTTTTTTGTTCTCTCTTTGTCCAGCAAATATACTAAAATTATGAGTGCTAAAATCATACATGGACTATGTCAAAATTTGAAGTAAATACCTCCAGATAACCCCATTACTGTGAATGAAGTTGGACAACAAAAAAAATAAAAATAAAAATTCCCAATGTATATCATCCAGAACACAATAGACGTTAAATCAACACAGCACGACAGCTGGACAGAAGATATAATTGAATGAAAAAATTTGACGACCATCTTTCTCAAAGAAGCAGCAATTCAATCATCCAACAACCAGGTGAGCTTAATCTACTACATGCCAATGATGTCCATGCTGGTATTCCCTATGATTTACATTTTTTTAAGTGCAGTGACCAGTAAAAGGATTAAAGCAGACACTATATTGATTCTTGTAATGAATAGATTGGTAAAATCAATTTCTTAAAATTTCCCATCTTCCGTTTACAGAATATGAAATGTATATCAATTCAATCATGTACAAAACACTGAGTTGAGGGAACAAAATTTAGCACAGTTGCCAATCTCATAATGATGTTATATTATATCAGGTACCATTGACCAGGAACTGTCCGAGAAGGTAGATTGTGGTGCATCATAGCTCTTTATTCGAAACAGTTCAACACCATTGATTATTTTATCTACTTGGAACTTCAGTGACCGGGTTGTCAGTGGCAGCACATAACGCCTTCCAAATTGGGATTAACATTTTCACTGGTGGGTGAAGTTCCTGGACAAGAATTCAAGCCCTATTTGAGTCAGTACAAAGAGGGAGAGTGGGGGCTGAATGGAAATAACAAGGGGCAACATCTTTGCAAAAAATAGTTCCTTATTTATTAAACAATAAATCACCCTATTCAACTGCTTTAGCAATCAGCTGTTCTTCACAGAATGGGACATAGGATGGGTCCCACATGTGGGGTGTGAAAATCCTCAATGCACTATAATATGCACTTCAAGGCTCACTTGTTCTTTGTGACTTTTTAAGTTATAATCATCATTAGGTTTTTTCGAAAAGCATAGAAAGTACAAATGAGAAAACATCACTTTACCTTGAAAACTAACACGAGTTCTTCTTCCTCACGTACAATCAGAGACAAGTTCCAATAACAAGTGACTGGGGTCACACATTCATTCAGGACAGGTTTCAAAATCTTTGCAATGGGAATGAAGTGGTGGATTATTCTCCCACTATGTGAGGAAAAAAATAGTAGTATTAGTGAAGCCGATGATTAGAAATGACAAAAGGAGAAAAAATACAGATAACAGGCAAAACAAAATATTATTCTTCGAGATTGTTTGAACTGGTGAATAGAAGGGAGATCCTTAGCATAAACTACTCTAGTGGTGCTATTGAGCAGCTAAAGGCAAGGTTGGCCATATTCTTTTTTAGGCTAGAAAAACTGGAGAATGTTTTGGGTTATGGAAAAAAAGGGAAGAAGAGATACTCCAACCAGTGCTCTTTTGTAACTGTTGCTTCAGTTTGATAGATATGATTTTTAAGTTTAATATCACAAATATACTTATGAATGGATGAGTTCCATAGCTTTTGTTTTGTTTAAAAACAAGCATCCTAAGATATAGGCACTAGGGCTGCAAACGAGCCGAGCCGAGCTGAGACAAGCTGAGCTTTGCTGAGCTCGAGCTCAGCTCATTTGCTTATTGAGCTCGTTTATTGAGCTCTAGCTCGGCTTGACAAGTAACTGGACTCAAGCTCGGCTCGATAAATAACTGGGCTCGAGCTCAGCTCGATAAGATATTTTTTAATATTATTTATATTATTTAAATAAAAAATACTATTTATATTATTGAATATATAAATATTTATTATATAATTTAAATAAAGATAAACGAGCCGAACTTATTAGAGCTTGGCTCGTTTATTAAACGAGCTGAGCCGAGCCTATTCATGAACAGTTTGGTTCATTTGCAGTCCTAATAGGCACCAATCAATATCCATATATTTTTTTTTGGACATTGCTATTCAAAGAACCAGCAGAGACATTCTAATAAACAGAGTGTACCATTGAACCAACTTTTCCTTTTTCCAGTTTGACACCTAACATATATTTGCAAATGGGAGTTAGATCCACTCTCTCAATAAATGAAAAATTCTCATACATAAAAAAAATAAGGAAGTACCTGCTGTAGTGAGTTTCAAGCTGGACTCCAAAAGCTGGCATGATTATGATGGACTCTGAAACATTAAGACATAAAACAAAGTGAACAGGTAATGAAAATACCTCCCCAAAATGAAACAAATAAACAACTAGCTTATCTTGCGGGGAAGTTAAAAAAAGGAAAAAATATAAGGGAAGCTAAGTAACAGCCGCAATCTTGCATCATAAAAAACCAGCTATCAACTGCACATAACATAATGAAGATTTAATTTAGGACAGCAAGCATTCTTATCCTCATACTACTTGTTTGGGAATTACTCTAATTTGTTTGTAGACTATCTTTTTTTTAGGGGGGGAGAGAGAGAGAGAGTGGATAAATATCAGAGAATGTTATCCAACTTGTTCTCATAACCACTTTTTAATAGTCCACATATCAAAAACATAGATACAATTCAGAAAAAATGGCCGGTGTAATAGTCTAAATTTGTGGAAAAAAATATGTAATTACCAAATGGCTTGTGTTTTTCAAGAATTAGAGAACCTTATGCTGTGCAGACCAAGAGAGAGAGAGAGAGAGAGAGAGAACCTTATGCTGCAAGACAATATACATGTTCACAAATGCCCTTTCCCTTGTAGGCTTGTATGATATATGTATGCTTGTTTATGTTTGTGTTTTCTTTGTGTTGCTTAGAAGGACAATAGAGTTATCATTAGTCAATTTTAAAAATACCAGACAAATATTATAAATAATACACGTGCTGCTCAGCAATGTGTTTCAATATGTCCTCAACAATTAAATACTGAAGAATATAATTTCACAAAAGTTGTGAAATAGACAGGATAATACAAATGAACTTACACACAGTTTTGAAGCAAATAAAGAAAGACAAATGTGAGCGCCTAAATTGGTGATGGACAAGCCTGATTACATATGATCTGTCAATAAGTTTTAGACATGCCAATTCTTGGTAGGGAAACCATAACACAGAACTCTGCAGTTGTAACTTTTTCAACAAAGTGCAATATGTTAATTAAAGGGATTGGTCCAGCACTTCATGTTACATGTAAAAAAATTGTTAATGTTTTTTAAACAACTCAGCTGACTCTCATATCTTGATCATATGGTCCGAATAGTGCAATAACTTTGGCGAACTAAACCATTTTCACAAGAAAATGATGATAGACAAGGAGAATGCAGGATAAATAAACTTATGATAATGACAAAGAAATGCCCTCTGCTTTTGCAATGCCTCCAAACAAGGATAACAGTCCAAATTAACTTGAAGCTATTACTAATAATATAAACCAAACAAATTAAATCCTGCAAACAGAAGTTCAGAGCAAAGAAACCCTTTTTGCTAGCTTCTCACCTTTCTCAACAGGCTTCCAAATAAATTGTTTGACAAGGAATGCACTTAAAAATAAGCTCCAAAGAAGTACATGAATTGATCCATCCTGTTGTTTGTTGGATCATCATGTCAGAGTTTATCACGCATAACTCGGGTCTCATAACAAAAACATTTTGTGATATTCTTCAGATAGTACACACACATACACACTCCACAAGTAAAATCTTGTAAATCATCATTCCGGCATTAAGAATTGAATATCTTTAGCAGAGTTTCCAAGATTTACATGTATGTTGATGATACCCAGAAATTTAAACACCCTTTTTACTGTTATAATTTCCCAAGATTGTTGCATTGCATCAAATAGGTACACCCATGAACACAAAACAGTGGCTCAAACAAAGTAGCAACAAAAAAGCTTTCTTTCACTAAACCCACAAGCAGAAAGTGAAAACTTTGCACTATTAGATGTGAAGAATAAAAAATCAGCAGAGAATATATATTATCAATATATTATGTATGTATACCTGTAGGAGAAAGAGAGAGAAGGCAGTTGTTGTGAGAAGAAGAGCAGAGAGGTATACAATGAATGCCTTGGCACTGCTTTTTCGAACAACAACATGGTGTGAATCGAGGGTTTCTAGTGATCCCTTATGATTGTCATGTATATATGTATATTTTGCATTCGCAACACAGGACTCAGCTGCCATTTTTAAAAATTGAAGCTCACAACTTTAGGATGCATTCGGATCAGACCATTGCTGCATATCTATACCTGCTTTCAAGGGTTCATCCCAATTGTTGAGAAATTGGATTTAGGGTTTATATTTTTGGGAAAATTATATTCTTTTGATATAACTTCTTATTGACTATCTCATCTATTTCTAATTTTTCCTATATACATATTTTTTTAATCTCAAATGGTTGTTAATTTATAATTATTTTAAATTACAATTGTTACACTATTGGATGATAATGTAATCACATCATTAAAATTATGATGACTTATACTAACCGTTCTTATAATTTAGAATTCGTATCATTTTAATTATTAATTTTTCAATTGTGATACATTTAAATTTAAATTTTAAATTTTGTTTCAAATAAAGACAATTGAATATAAGAAAAATTGGTTTAAGGTCCCTTCTCTACTTTTGATAGGAGGACAGGTCCAAAATAATATGTTTTGATCGCTAAGGTCCCTCAAGTTTATTTTAGGTTATAAAGTACCTAAAATACCCTTCGTTTATAACATAGATTTGTTTGAATATTATATTGTTGACTTCACGGTGTAAATTTTGTCGGAGATTGCAGTGGAGTTGACGAGAAATTTGTTTGAATATTATATTGTTGATTTCACGGTGTAGATTTTGGAAACTGATTTCGCGGTGGAGATTTCGTCGGAGATTTCAGTGGAGTTGATGAAAAAGATTGCTACGATCATGTAGGTGTTACAGTGTATTGATCGCGTAGGTTTTTCAGTGGAGTTCAATCAGATATGTTTTCGATAGAGATTCCACATGGATTTTGATTTTGTTTTGAATTTTTGTTTAGAAAGAGGCCAGCTTGATAGAGTTGATTTTTGTTTTTGGAATTAATTTTTCATTCTCTGTTTTTTGATCAATTTCAAAGAGTGTTGACATTGTAGTTGATTTTGATATTTAGAGTTTATTTTTCGTACGTTGTTTTTCATCAACATGCTGATCAATGATAAATTTTGTTCTATATTTTTTCAAACCAGATAAATTTCATTCTCTGTACTTTTGTTGGTATAGTCCAGAGAAAATTATAAGTTTGTTATTATAATCCAACGAAAATCACAGAGAAAATTATAAATTTGTATGGACATATTATTAGAAGTTTGTAATGCAGATAGAATCTGAGAAAGTGAATGTAAGTTCATAAATTTCTCTAGACTTTTATTTGTAGTTCAAAGAAAATTATAAGTTTGTTACTCATTTTCGGTTTGTAATTCAGAGAAAATTATATGCTTACAGAAAGTGAATATAAGTTTTTGTTTCTTTTTTTGTGTTTTTTTCTTTCAGTTTATATGGACAATGTAGTGTTTTTTGTTATCTTGAAGGTGTATATAAGTTTGTAAATTTCTCTGGATTTTTGTATGAATGCAATATTGCAGAATAACTCATAGAAAATTGTTAGCTTGTAGTACAGTGAAAATTATAGAGAAGCCTATAATTTCATAACAGACATTCTGTGCGATTTTTTTCTATGATTGTGTTTAATAGTTAGCAGTAAATTTCTTTGTGATTCTCTCTGGATTCATTAAGTTTTTGTGATTTTGTTTTTGTTATCTTGAAGGTGAATATAAGTTTGTAAATGTTTCTGGACTTTTATTTGAGTCCAGAGAAAATTATAAGCTTGTTGTTATAATCCAGAGAAAATTATAATTTTTAGAAATTTCTCTGGACTTTTATGTTGTTCTTGTGAAGTGTTTTTATGTTGAACAAATTATTTTTCTTATTTTTTTTTTCAGTTTCGATGGACAGTGCAATGTTGTTGCTGTGCAAATATAGGAATGATACTATTGTCATTAATGTTTCATGTGAATTGAATTTTGAGGAATTGGTTGGCATTTTATGTAAAATATGAGAGAATTTGAAACCTGAGACTCTGTGTATTTCATATTCTATTGTGGGTCATCTGAATTGTATGGCTCGAAATAATATTGATTTTCTAAATATGTTGAGGGTTGTTTGTGCACGTGGTGTTGATATAGTTGATGTTTCAGTTACTAGGTGTAGTACTTCTGATGAAGAGGATGAAGTAGGGTCTAATTGGGTAGATGTTGTGGATGGTGAATGTGATAAGCTGGTGGATATTGAAAGGAATTCACTCTCTAAGTTTTGTTCTTGCCAAGAAAATGTGTTATTGTCAGCTGATTGGAGAAATAATATTACGAGTGTTGGACAAAAGTTTGAGGGTGGTGTGGTTGAGTTCCGTACTTTTTTATGCAAATATGCTATTGAGGTTGGTTTTTAGTTTACGTATGTTAAAAATGACAAGCTGAGGGTTATGGCAGAATGTGCATATAAGGAATCAAGGGGATGTATGTGACATGTACATGTTTCAATTGAAAAAACAAATTGGTTCTTTTACATAAGAACTTTGAACAATGAACATACGTGTGGCGTGACTGTTCGTACTAGTAAACATGCTAGGATGACTTCCAGCTTAGTTTCTTGGCTGATACTTGAAGAGGTAAGTGCAAAACCTTTAACTCGTCCAGTAGATGTTGTCAAAGAAATGAAAGACAAGTATGGGGTCTCAATCAGTTATAACTGTGGTTGGTTGGGGGTTGAAAAAGCAAAATGTAGTACATATGGGGATTCTTGTTTGTCATTCGATCAATTACGATGGTATTTTGATGAGGCATTGAAGAACAATCCAGGTAGTCATTTTGAGTTAGATTTTGAAGATAACAAGAGTTTCAAAAGAGTGTTTGCGGCTTTTCATGCATGCATTGTTGGTTTCAAATATTGTCGGTCATTGTTTTTCTTGATGGAACATTTTTGAAAGGACGATACAAAGGAGTTATGCTTGCTGCAACGGGGAAAGATAGAAATGAAGGTAATTGTAAATATATCTAATTTTATCTAAGTTGTTAATTTTCTAAACATGTAGGAATTGAGTGAATGTGATTTTTCTTTGACACTTTGATTTTTCTCTAGTTTTGGCCATTGTGTGTATTTTCTCTGGTTGTGGCCACTGTGAGAATTTTCTCTGGATTTTGGTCAGTGTGTGAATTTTCTCTGAATGTTGTCATTGTGTGAATTTTATCTGTAGTTGGTCACTAAGTGAATTTTCTTTGGATATTGTCACTAAGTGAATTTTCTCTGGATGTTGCCAATGTGTGAATTTTATCTGTAGTTGGTCACTAAATTTTCTTTGGATATTCTGATTGTGTGAATTTTCTCTGTAGTTGGTCACTAAGTCAATTTTCTCTGGATGTTGCCAATGTGTGAATTTTCTCTGGAGTTGGGCACTAAGTTAATTTTGTCTGGAGGTTGTCATTGTGTGAATTTTCTCTGGATGTTGGCAGTGTCAAATTTCTCTGGTTGTTTATTGTTCTAATTTTCTCTACATGTGTATATCTAATGTGCTTGTTCTTATTTGTTTTGTAGGTTTTTTTCCTATAGCTTTTGATGTTGTTGATGCTGAGAATAAAGACAATTGGTGTTGGTTCCTTGAACATTTATGTGAAGTATTGGGATCAGAGAGGGGGATAAGTTTCATATCAGATCGACATTGCGGTATTGTGGAAGGAATTGCTAGGTTTTTCCCAAACTGCTTTCATGGATTTTGTCTTGAACATCTAAAGAAAAATTTGAGGGATAAGTTGTCATGTGGAAACACAAATTTGATTAGGGAGACGATTGTGTCCAAGTTTTCAGAATATGCATATGCACCAACAAAAGCATCATTTCACTTCAAGTTAAATGAATTAAAAAGTGAGGGATGAGACGTTGTGAGTGTTTTCTTGAGAAGTTTACCATATGAAAATTGGAGTAATGCATATTTTAAGGGGAAACGTTATGGTGAGATGTGTTCAAATGTTGCTGAGTCATTCAATTCATGGATACGAGAAGCTAGGCACTTGCCATAACAAATTTGGTGGACATGATACGGTTGCAAATCATGAATATAAGGTCTGATAGGAGGCTGCTCTCTAGTAAATGGAATAAAGTTCTCTGTCCTTGTATGGATAGTGTATTAGAGAAGTCTTTCTTGGATGAGAGAACATGGAATGTGAGTGTATCATCTGATAATATCTTTGAAGTGCATTATTTTCCTTCGGTTATGGTTGATCTTGGGTTGAGAACTTGTTCATGTCAAAAATAGGAAATAAATGGGTATCTATGTCAATATGTTGTTGCTACAATTTTTAGGAGTGGAAAGAATTTGAATTCATTTGTTGAACTATTTTTTCATACTGATATGTATCGTCAAGCATACTCGTTTTCGATTGGCCCAGTTCCAACTGTTGAAAAACCTGTGAGTAGCATTGATGATGCTATGATGTTACCTCCATTGAGTAAGAAACTAGCTGGGAGGCTAAAAAAGAACAAAATTGCTTCTGCTAGAGAGTTTAAAAGGGTGATTAAGTGTAGTCGTTGTGAGAGTATTGGTCGCCATAATAAGAGGACGTGCAAGGAACCTTCGTTAAATAGTTGAGGATAATACATTTTATTGATTGAATAATACATTTGATGATTACTTTTGTGTATTTTGTTTTGTGAAATGTATTTTTTAGACACTGTATATAATAATACCAATCAAATTCATCTAGAGAAATTTTCCAATAGCAGTGAAAGTGTGCATTGTGTTTGTTGATAAATACTATAGGCACTGGGTTTGTAATACCAGTCAAATTCATCCAGAGAAATTTGCCTATGGCAAAGAAAATTCTCTGTGCATTGTGTTTTGAAGCTTCAAATTCATCCAGAAAAATTTTCCAATAGTAGAGAAAAGTACTATGTGCATTGTGTTTTTTGAATTTGATAATTGTTTTGTACTAACACAGTGCATTACAGATTACATGATCATATAGGCACCCTCTTTGGCACGGTACGAGTTAAATTTCTCTGTGAATTTCTGGTAACTTCATACCAGTCAAATTCATTCATAGAAGTTTGCCAATGGAAAAGAAATTTACTATGGGTATTGTGTTTGTTGAAATTTGCATTGTGTTTTTATCATCTGATAATATCTTTGAAGTGCATTATTTTCCTTCGGTTATGGTTGATCTTGGGTTGAGAACTTGTTCATGTCGAAAATAGGAAATAAATGGGTATCTATGTCAATATGTTGTTGCTACAATTTTTAGGAGTGGAAAGAATTTGAATTCATTTGTTGAA